TTTCTCTTTGTACAGCATTTAGCGCCAGATCATGCCAGTTTACTCCTAATATCGATAGATTCTCAACCGTAATGGCTCGCAATAGGAAAAATCGAAGGTAAATTGCAGGGTCAATAAACATTAACAAACTCTTTGTCAAACATTAATAAAATTAATTGTTTTGAAAAATACAAGGGAAGAATAATATAAGTTTCGATTTTTCCGCCATTACCCTTAATAAATTAAGGACATAAATAGTTACAGAGGTAAAATGTTACAAAGCTGAAACAAAAGGTGTATTTACAACAGGATACTGTGATGACAAAAAATTTATTCAACAAAATTTTTCAACTTTCGGTCCTCAAAATAGGCGTGTCTCTTCCATTCTTTGCTTTTAACACCGTCAGTCTGAGGAGCAAAGTAATTCAACAGCGTATTAGAATTTCCGGCTGAGTCCGCTTCATCAGGCTCCTGCCTAAAGTCAAACACACATAAAAAGAGAAGGCAATAAAGGCAGAACGTTTATTACACACAACATCTAAACAGATAAAATTTACCGCTTCTTCATAAAATTCACTCAACTGAACACGCTAAAAGATTGGCAGCTGCTACATTTCTGAATATCACATCGAGAACGAAAAATAGATAGGTGATTGAACGATTCATGGTTCACGGCACCAAGTACAGTAGATCGTAAAACCATTATTGAAAACGCATTTCATTACATAGAGAAGGGAAAATATTCTTCATATCCGCAAAAAAAGAAATTTCCATTACCTACGGTTTAGGCCTTTTCTCGCAGTGCCACTCACGGAAGCTTACTATCAGAGACATTATCCAATCCGAAGAGAATACTCTGAGAATATTTTAAAAGTAGTCTCAGCAGTTCATTAAGATACAATATAATCTTACAGTGGCCGTCGGAACATCAGCTAAACTACTGAAGAGTGACACGGCCGCGAAACAAACGACCTTAGATTTGCAGTGTAAAAGGCCATGATTAGTGATTTAATGCCCTACCCAGGTTCGTGTACACTCAGCTGCGTGGAGTACTTGAAGGACGCCGAAAAACCACATGCCGGAGTTTCACCCCGTGATAGCAAATTGGGATCAGAAGAACTGAAGGAACTACCGACGCATTTATTTGCTCAGTTTAGCTCATAAGGTCAATTCAGATTTCTTTCAAAATAGATGCCGGCAAATGTCGAGAGAGCGGAATGTTCAGGAATAGCAGATTGGCTTTCATTATGGTTGCAGTCGCGTGGATACGATATCTAATGAATGCAGGTCAGCCACATATGTTGGGAGCATGTGACGGAGTTTCGTGTCTCGTTTTGACAAATTCGCGACATCGCTGGTTAATCAGATTATCTTATGTGAACCTGATCAAGGAGACCGCAACCTCTGAGACTAACGGTGAACATACAGTGACACCTCTTAGGCAGATCTGCGGTTGAGGAGCATTTTCTTCGCGGATGCAGTGGCAAGCGCTTAAAATCGCACTAATCCGCTTGCGCCCTACGACATCATAAGCTTAAGCACAGAAACCGCTTGCACAGAGCCTGAACGACAATGACTCACACAGATCTGGAAAAGAACTCATCACACAGTCCCTCGGACACACCGGAGTGGAGTGCAGCGGGATTAGAGATTGAATAGCTAACTATTGGATGCCATCAAATCCCTATACGACTAGGGGTCCGCGTTCGGGCGAACGCCAATAAGTTTATCTCTCTGACGCATGCCGAGCTCTGCAAAAGATTTTGCTGTAAGCTATTTTGTTCATAATGTAACTGACCGAAGACACCGTCTTTCGTTTAGTCATGGTGTTCAGCAAAAAGACCGTGGGAAGGCAAGGACCAGAAATGGCCCACATAAATTGCACGGACGGCTCGAGGACTGGCCCTCGATACGGAGTGGGAAAGATAAAAAAAGGCACGGTACGAACGAAGAGAGAGATGCGTACTGCTCTTGGAGTGCGTTGATATGTGTAATAAAAGTTGTTATACTTGAACTTGGTGCGTGGCTATCTTCGCATGGCCACATAGTCTACGATGAGTGATCAATGGAGATCTGTTACAATTGTTTTTATGAACTAGGTCAGCTTACGCAGTCTAGATAATGGGTTCGCGACAGTTAGAGAGGTATGAGTCAATTATAAACTGTTTGCGAATGATCTCATCATGTTCGCTTCTTCCCATTCAAATCTCCCATACACACGTTCGGTTCGCTGCCTCATGCGACGGGGCCGGATGAAGAGCAGCCTGGTAAAACTTGAGGTCTCATAGCTTAGAAAGAGAAGTCTGCTCTTCAGTCTAGGGGAACAGAACCGATGCAAGTTAAAAAATTTAAATATCTTCGTGAGTTTAAATATCTTCGTACGGCAGGCAACAAATAGAAACAGACATACAAACTGGCCAGGCGAGCATAGTAATCCGTAGACTAAACTGACCTTCAGATGAACAACGAACTGAGTAGCAAAGCAAAGATATCAAGTCTTTTGAACATATCCATTGTCGCATACACTCATGAGTGCAGAATACAGATCGAAAGAAAGCGATCTAGAATGGAAGTGGCACAAACAGTGTTACTTTTGGGACTGCTGATGTGACGAAGACATTCGTAGGCACTTCTACAAAATTTCGTGGGAAGACACCCACTGAACTTCTGCATCTAATTAACTATTTTCTGACTACCCATCAGCCGTCATCAGAATGCTGATCCGTCAAGAATACTCTGTCTCAAAGAGAATAAGGCAACAATGGTAAAAGCATTTGGCAATCCCCATCATGCTTTAAACAGGGGTCAACTGCACCAGTGTCAGACAGGTACTGATCACAGATCCAATGGCTTGCAATAGCTGTAGATTAATCGATCGACCCGCCACAAGTCAAGAATTGTAGTCAGGCCGTCCTGACACTGTTCAAATACCTCTAAGTTACCCATAAGTTCGACATCAAGTATGACGCTGATCAGTTGCTGGTAGTCTCGTCGCACTGCACTGACGTTGAGTCAGAATTGTGGCTTCTTTAGTTCGTCAGAGAGAACGTTGATACTAATCTCAGTTCGACGTGCTGCACCCCCTTCACCATCTGTGATCTTATCAATCAATCTATAGTCGACAATTCTGCCAGAACACGGGTACGACTAATGCAATGGTTCCTTTCTGGTAAAACTCCATTCTGACGCGGGATAACAGGAGTACTAGAAAAATACTTGTTAGATATACAGGGAATTTCACTGATGTACTGACAACAGTTTCCCAAAGACTTTGCTCAGCATGTTATAAGCAATTCGAGCCTTCCTGATTCTTTCTTGAACATCTGGCTCACAGTTTCCATTACTAGAGATTATCGATCCAGGATTGCAGAATTTAGTGACATATTGATCGGTTTCGCTTCAAAGGTGTCGCAATTGCCCTGCTGCACATTTCAACGAGCATCCATTTTCTGTAGACGAGTTTCTTGGCAGGAACAATTTCCCCAATGCGACATTCGTTTCACTACTACCGAACTGTGCATTAACATCTATTCTAAGGATTACAAGGTCATTCGATGTTATGGCACTATGTAATAACTGTTCTCAGTAATTGCTAAGTCTGTCGTAGAATGCATTCTTTTCTTCTTCATTGGCAGAATTCGCAGCACGTGTGCGGATATAATTTATGTTGTTCTGAACGACTTCGAAACGTTTATATGGCACAATCCAAAATTGGTCCCCATTTTTCTACAGTTCCTTCATAAACCGAACGCAATGCAACTCCACAACCACATTCTTTCTTCAATCCGAACACGAAATAAGCTTCATGATCATCCAATAAACTACGCGATCAGTGCATTAAGACTGTTCAAAGTTCTGGTAACGGCAACTTGCCCATCTTCTCCTGTAAAGGACTGACATTTCAAAGTCACTATTTCAGCTACATCTGTAGTCGAAACAACTTACGCGGTGGCTCTGAAAAACGCCTATGGGATTGGACAGGTAGATGGCTTAGAGTGACAATATTTGCGCATCTGGAAATGAGCAGGAAACTGGTGTCCAGTCAACTACTCTGACTGATTGCTGAAACCAGATCACTGGCATCGCGTTTGGATATTCTGCATGACAGTGTGAATTTAGGAGGGATACACCACGTGGTGGCGATCAGCGTCAAATACCCAAACACCACTGAAGAACAGTGAATGAATTCCTTGTTCAAGGGAATCAGTTGCTAAAACGTAGGGGGTAAAAGCTAAAACCCTAAAGCGTAGGGTTTCAATCCAGCACTATAGCGCGCAAAGCAACCAATTAACTCCTGCGTCACTGCCCCCTCTCTCCATTAACCAGGTAGTGTTGTTATTACGGTTTCACTGAGCACGCGTGATGCATACTGATGAATACATGACATAAGACGAAATGAGCCTTGAAACCTCAATCCATTTACTGCACGTTTTACAGAAGAAATACATTCACTGATCAGTGATCACTCAGTGCAGATTCGACAACGCCATAAGAGAAGCGAGAAGATTTGAATACTTTGCTAAGTTAACAATAGTCCTGTGGGAAATTTAAGAAACCCAAGGATGCAAACTTCTTCCGGTCTCGTTTCCACAGAAAGGCGGTCAGCACGGAAGAGAAACCGCAACGATAGAACAAACTCTTGAATTAATGCATTACGCCATCATGCTAAACAGAATCAGGGAAGTAAAGCTTCTACCTTTAAGAACTTCAAAAACTTGGTAAGAGTTCTCAGTGTGTTCACAATGGAACAATCCTATAACATACATGATGCGATAAATCAGAAAGATTATACGAACGGTCAATTGCATGTAATATAGATTCAAAGTCACTGTCCTAAAACTGTCGCCATCGATTATGAAATAAACCACGGGATCAGATCGCCATCTGTAAACAACATGAAATATTAAAGATGCATGAAATTCCGCAACCAGAATGAAATATAATTCACCTGTCACTTCACTGAGCATCCGCTCCGTTCTCCTGCTTCTAGTAGCCCAGGGGTTTATTTTTGGTGTATATGCCTACGTAATGAGGTATATTCGATTGTGTTTGAACGTGAGTTTGTTCGACAAAACAAAGTGCCGTTGTTTTGCGCCCATGCGTTGTAGGTGGTAAAATACCATAAAGCCGCGGCCTGCTTATTCGTCCCCTAGGCTATTAGAAATAAAGAGGACGGTACGCTACGAAGTGTGAATCTGGAGGAGTGACAGGAGAATGTCATTCTAACACTAGCAGTTTACTAGCAAACCCATAATGACGCGGTCTATTTTTGGTGTACGAAACATCATTTTGGCAAGTGCATGAAATATCAGAGAGATCATACTAAAAAATAGAGCGACGACATCAACTTCGAAAATATTCACAATGTAAATACAAGGCCTGAAAGCCTCATAAAATTGATCTCGCCAGCTTCCAGTAATGATGTTTTTGTTTGGCGATACTTCCACCGGATACCGCATTGAAGTTTCGGTACAGATGGCGAAACTAATGATGAAACGTACACTGGTAATGCACATATATTCAGATGCAGATTAATCCGGGGTTATCTCAACAGAACTCGTGTTTCCCGCTTCCAGACAGATAATACTTTGTCACCGCTGTCGCTGTTCATACATACACGCACGAAGCTGATACGCTATGCAGTAATCGTTAACACCGTTCAACTTGTTTATATAAGCTGCACGCGAGTTATGTTCAGGGTAGATGGATTCAGTACAATGTAAAACGCAGGCATAATTCATATAAAATATTTATCTTTCTTGCTGCATCATCGAAGATGATGAATGCTTGCCGCCTACTCGAAAATTAATATACTCATGCAAATATAACTCGAACGACAGAGACTAAAGTGCGTGACATCACCGAACTTACGAACAAGGAACCCACTTACCAACACATTTCAATACCACGTGCATCGAGAATTTCCTGAACAGTTGACCAACTAAACCGCACAATTGAAGGAAAACCAAATAGCGGATTAAAGCACCTTTTCAGGAATTGCCGCGTAACCGGATCTAAAGTAATCAGGACGAATAAACTTTGAAATCACCCGCCGAAAACAGCGAAAATGCCTACCAGCAGGGTAGCCAGAGCCCATTTCTTTGCTGGAAAACGAGATCCTTTCTTTGAAAGACCAATTCTTGAGCAGAGCGTCGCGCGTCACCTTCGCGCAAATGCTGGCTGCAGCAACCACGGCGTAGATACTGTCAGCTTTGGTGGAAACAACGAATTCTACGGAAGGAAACTTCATCGACAACTTCTTAAGGTATGAGCCTGGGGGGCCAACAGTATCGATAAACACCTTTAAACAGAGTAAACAAGTAAATGCCTTATCACTGCACAGTTAAACTTGCAAGTAATTAATGTAAGTGAGAAACAAGCACACGTAATTTAAAACTTTAACGGTAAAGAGAACGATATAAGAGTATTATAGCATTCGCACGATCTAAATACGCCGCAATGTTGCCTGTTATTTAATTTCGCTGTATGTTCGTTTCTGAGGCAACATAGCGCCACTGCTTTCCGCAGATTTTCCAAAACTTTACCGTATGTCGCATTGGTGAACAAATCAAAAGCCAACTACTGGCAAATCCTTCAATTACTTTTGAATAAATTTAAAAAAAACGGAACTCTGATCCATTGCATTTACAAGATAACTTTGAAACAAGCAAAATCATTGTCAAAGAGTGCGAACAAATTCAAATTCAAAGGTGCTAAAGACCCAGCAAACAGATGAAGCGCAAGTTCAGAGACTCGAACGCTGAGAGTCAGTCGACACTATGCAAAGCTAACTCGTCGATTATAAGAAACTATCTGTATCATCGGTCCAAGATTTTACAGCGTACTTCGTGCTCAAGGAGAACTTAGTCCAACTTCCAGATAATAGCTCATCACTTACGATTCTTAGCAGAATTCTACAGGATGAGTATCCTCGGACTACCGGCGTATTCTGACCCGAGCTATGCGCAACAAATTGATAAACATTCTTGCCTAAACCCTTAATTTCACATTTTATCTTCCACACATACACTACTAGTCGTAGTAAGCCAAAAGACGGTGGGTAAGCAGTATTACATCACTGATGGATAACAGGGTACAGCCTTCAGTACTAGAAGACTGGTATTCAAGGGTTTAGAAATGACCACCTGGAAGATCTCCGCATAGAAAGACGAGCTAAAGAACAGATATACAAACCCTACACAACAAGGGTAGGCATAGTGATAACGGCATAATTCCGTTAGAAACAAATATTAACACGGAATTTCTTACATGCGGAATCAGTCTTCGAATCATGGCCATATTATACCATAAAAAATATTACCTTATATTTCGTAAAGCAGTAAAAGTGTAAACAGGTTTCGATCACGAATGAACGAGCGTGAAAGCACAGTGGCTGAGGTCAGATTTGAACCTCAAACGTGTCGGGTTCGAATCCGCTTAAGGGGCAGCTGTGTCTGATCCGAGAATCCCCTTAAGCAAAGAATTAACCACATATTGCTTCGACGCAAGCAGCCGAGAAATGTGAAATAAGTCGTTGAATGCCAAAAATAAGAGCAACATGGTATGCTGGTGTACTGCCATGCTATCAGATGCGAGTGCACCTTGTGACTGCACTGCGCCGTGATTCACTTAATAGCTGGTTATCAAGTGTAATAATCAGTACAGTGGGTAACACCGATTTCGATTTTTTTGAATCTGCTCCACGCAAAATAGTTCCAAGAAAGCAGTATGGCTAATTTTAGAAATGCCGCCCAGTGAGAATCGAATAACCAAATCTTCATCTTCATCTTCATCTTCCATCGCCGCTTCTCCTTTCGGGTCGCGGAGGCAGACGCGTCA